TAAGTTTACAGTGCCATTTTCTTAGCACATTTCGGTGACCTTTTTTTATTTTTTTTTTAGAGTTTTTTTTAACTGCATACAAAGAATGCGCCTCTTTTACACATGGCAGCCAGGAAAGACGCCTGAGCTTTGAAGACGACTGCTATCGCGTTTTCGATCATGTTTCCCCACATATTACAGCATGAAATCTCCATGTGTGGTAGTTTCAGAGTTATACGTTTTTGTATTGAAGATGTTATTTTGTTTGCCCGTGCTTTTACGTATTTATGGATTGATTTATGTAAACAAAAATAAAGATGAATCTTTGTTCGCCCCCTCCTTCATCACACATGCCTGTGAATTATTTGCTATCATGCGTGTGCACGAGACCGTGCATATGTGGAAACATATATTAACACAACCAACGGGTAGGAATTAAATTATTCTGTTTGACACTAAAAGTCATTTCCATAGATGAACTGCATTTCATCGATCGAGGTGTTTGGTTTTCTTTCTGCCATTTTGAAATAAATGCACGCAATATTAAAAACAGGTCAACAAAAGGAAAAAAATATTCAAAATTAAATGTGTCAATCTGCTTGATATAAAATATTTAAAAGATTGTGTGGGCTTGGTGAAAATTTCTTAACAGAGCCTCTGCTGGAATCAACACAATGCAGTTTTGTGTACAGGGATATTGTTTATGTGTTGTTATAGCTCACACACCCCCAAGCCCCCCCGTCCCTCCGTCCCCCCCGCCATGGGTATTTGCAAAAATATTGAGGCTGGCATCATAGGATTCATTGCAGTAGAATATCCAATAAAATACATTTCAACAAATAAGTGGACTTCGTAAAACCTCTGTTTCGTGACCTTCAGGTCCTTTTTGAGTCTGTTGCCTTGGCCCAACGCTGACATACTGAAATTTATAGTCCAAGGTTTTAAGACCTAGTTTGTCTGCATTTTTTTGCCTTTTTTCCCCCCTAACAAACACAAACATCAAAATAAGGTGCTTTCAAAGAAAAGTGCCATAGCATATCGTAAACTCATTAGGTCCAGACGTCTAGCCATCTCAATGGTTTTATTATACCACGGTTCTTCCTGTTTTAAAAGAATTATAGGTATCTTCTCGACAATGGATGGGAAGCAATGCAACACCTTTTCCTGGCGGTGCATGCCTTTGCTTTCTTTTTCTTTCCCCACCCCCCATTTTTTTTAATTTTATTTTATTCACAGAGGTAAAAAACATTAAACACCAGGTCTCTCAGCTCTCCCCTTAATCTTGAATTAACCGAACTGCTCGTAAATATTTACGGGTCCTTCATTTTAATGGTTGCTCTTTAAACAAAGCATTTTTTACAATGAACTTCATCTCAATTATCTTGATAAAGTCATGTGTGTTTATAAATGCATGAGGAGGGTTGCTAAATGAGCTCTCGCCAACAAAGCCGAACGTTTGGCAGCAGCCGTGTCCCCTCCACAGCTTCCAGCCTCCCAGTTAAAGAAAGCAGAGGTTAGAAGCGACTCAGTAGGAATAAAAACCAGGACTAAAAGGCACGATTAACCGAATAGGCATCATTATGTTTCCTTGGCTCCTGAGGACCGGTGTGGGGGTATTTCCCAGCCGATCCCGAGGGATCGCTGATGTTCGGAAGCGCGCCGGTACCGGAGGCCCGGCGGCGGGCGCACCTCCCCGGCCGCTCCGCGCTGGCCTCTGGCAGCAAACGCGGCTCGGGGAGGCGGGGAGGGTGCCGGGGGTGCCGCGGGCCGGCAGCTCGGCCGCCCCTTCCCGCAGCCCCGGCGCGGCCGCGCTCGGCCCGCGGGAGCTGCGCGGGGCTGCGCGGGGGCTGCGCGGGGGCTGCGCGGGGGCTGCGCGGCAGGGCCGGCGGCGCAGCGCGCATCGCGAGGGGCGCACAGATTTCTGCTCTCAGCGCAGCGCTGTCGTTCGGTCACGGCAGACTTTATTGTGTAATAAGTGACAACAATTACAGCAGGTCCGGAGCTGGAGACGCGGAGCGGGCAATGAGCACAACGGGACCGCGGGCAGGGACGGCAGCGAGCCGCGGACCGGCAGGCGCTAGGCCTATGGCGAGCGGCTCCGGGGTGACACAACCTCCTAACAGTGCGCTAAGGGGGGGAAGTAGCTCGTGGCCTCTCTGTGGCATCTATTGCGAAGAATTCAGACCTAGAAAGCAGAAGTTTGGGGAAATATTTCCTCTTAGTAGGTCTTAGCACAGCAACCCCATTGATTTAAGCGACTGTAATTTAATATGTATTTTATTACCGTAATTATAATTAATTTCCTTACCTTTATTTTGGCAAAATAACTATCTAGTCTACATCACTTTTAAGAAACATGTCAAACATTTAACATCAGATAGGGTTCCCAAAGCTAACGTGCACTCACAATATTGTCATCTAAATGGTCTGGGAAGGAGGAGGGGAGTATCAAGAGACTGAAAAACACGTTGTCGAGCAAGACAAAATTTCCGGAAATACCTGACACAGACCACGTTTCACTTCTACCAAAAAAAAAAAAAAAAAAAAAAAAAAAAAAAAAAAAAAAAAAAAAAAAAAAAAAAAA